ACTTTAATTCAGAACTTAATTTATTTAAATAATATCAATGACAATGGTATAACACGATTTTATAATAGGAGGAAAAAACTACAACTTTCCAACAATGACACGCAACAACTCAACAACTCCACTAAACAAATATTAAAACAATCTCGGTCTTAAAATGGTGCATTATTTTATTTAATGTTGATTATAATTTCAAGTATAATGATTTGCCGATAAAATGCACAAATACGGAAAAAACAGCTGGATAGCTGATTTCGTATACCAAATTATTGAATGTGAAACAAAAGTGTAATGGTGGAACTAGCCGCTGTTAGTCAAAAGGGCAATTTTTACTTTTTAAAACGTACCTAGTGATAATAGTGATAGGAAATTGATTTATATTGTTTCTTTTATAATAATTATTTGAATAAAAAATATAATGAGTATGATTATTGCAAAGGAATTAATTTACATTTATTAAACAAAATTTATTGAAAAACAAAAATTTGTTGAAAAATGAGTGCTTTTATTTCAATTTCCAAATCAATATTTTTATTCGTTTTGGAAGTAGAACAAATAGATTTTTACTTAATTAACTACTTTTAATCTCTTCATGTTCCTCAATTATATGTAAATATTACTAAACACGTTAACGATAATTTTTCTTTAAACAAAAGTATACCTCCAATAATAAATTGTAATGATATAATTTTGCTTGAACGACCACATACATTTATAGTATCATATTTGTGCTACCTATTTGATTAATAACAAAAACAGTTTTAAAAATAATAATAAAATAATTTGAAAAATGTATTCGTCTAATATAAAGAATCCACGAAGCACAATTTAAAAAATTAATATTATTATCATACCAATAATTGTTATTATTATTATTATTATTATTATAGTACATTATCAATAAGTATATTCATTTTTTTTTTAATTATATTTAAATATATATTGTAATTTGTATATTTTTTTAAGCAAACTTAATGTAAAATTTATTAATATTTATATACACACAAATTAATTATGTCAATTAACAGCATTTTCATTATTAATGATGTTTTGTAAACACTACCCTGAAAGAATATAACTACTTTGTTTGGCTCATTTTACCAAGACATACCTATATCTTCATGTATGTAATGTATCTGTGATGAAAGTCATTGGAATAATATCAACTTAATATATATAATCAGCCTAAATAATGATGACCGAAAATAATTTATTTTAAAACTAAGGATAATAATGTTTTTCATAATATTGTACTCCAGAAATAATAATTTTGACTGAAAAAAAAAATGATTAAATTTTACTCAATGTTAAAGAGTTAAAGTAAAGCTAATTTTATTTAAATTACTTTTAACGTTTAAATTTGAGGGGCCTCAATGCAAAACGTACTTTTTCCATTTTTAAGAAAATTGAGTTATACATTGATTCACATGGTAAATTGCATGGGGAATCGAATGGTCGTATTATTATAAGCCAAAACGGTCTTTTTCCTTAAGAAAACGATGGTAAAAAACTATGTTTTCTGCAAAACGTTCCTTTTCCATGATATCTTTCAATGCAAAACAATCTTTTTCCATTTTACTTCAAAATATACCTTTTCCAATGTTAAAAGTGTACCATACATAGAAATTCGCTGCACAACGTACTATTTCCTTCATTATTTATTAAGAAGATCTATTTCCATAATAAAACAAAATGCTCCTTTTCCTACGTAATTGTATTGTCATTAAATATTTTTTTCCAAAACGGTCTTTTAATTTTTAATTATAGTTTTAAGTAAATTAATTTTAAATTTAAGTTTGTTTAATTATTTTAACGTCATTGTTAATAATTATATTTGTGCCATGCGTTTATTTAAAATTTAGCGTAATTCAAATTTTCATAAAATGTATCTATCTCGTTACTAACTTCATTACAATGTAAGATATGTTACCATTTCCCTCCAAAATCGTATTGCTGATTAGAAATTTGCTCGGCTTTTGCCGTCTATAAAATATATTCTACAGTAGTTAAAACTTAAAACTTAAGATTTAATAAATAATTTCCTTTTAAATGTTTTGACAATTACAATGAGAAGATCACGCATAAATAAAATGCTTAATGCAGCGACTTCAGTAAGTAAACAAACTTATATTTTTTTTGTAATGTACATTTTTAAGAAAGTATTCCTACTTCAAAAATGTATGATTTACTTAATGCTCTATAATTTATTATTATTTCAGGCATTTGAACCTAACCATTTAACTTATGGTAACATGATAAATTCAAAAACTATAGAAAATAATGATTATCTGCAGGTAATTTAATATTGTTCATATACTATAATATGTATAGGTGTGTTATATGATACAGTATGTTTATAATGTTTATAATGTGTTATAAAATTAGGATAAAGTACAAACTTGGTTTAATTAATCCACAAATAATGAATCTAATAATAATAATTGTTTTACTATGGACAAAATACAAAATAAAAGTGTAAATGAAATTTAAAAATATTGAGTTGTATTATTACTAACTCTTTAATATTATTTAGCATTTCATTCTTAAATTTTTTTCAAATTAAAAAATTTATTTCAAAATGTACTTTTCCCAGAATAGGTGTATTTTATCAAAAATAATTATGTTTTTTGCAAAATGGACTAATTAAAAGATTTTTTACAAAATATTCGATTTCCGGAAATAGTACGTTTTGTTTAAAATTTTTCATAATTTTTCCAATACGTACTTTTTCCAAATTTAATGCAAAACGTACTTATTCCGGAAAAGGTCTGTTTTGAAGAAAACGATTTTTTTATATATTAAAAAAAAAGGCAATAAATAAATTAAACAAAAAAGAAATTAATTTATAAACAATATAGGAATATTTTTTAGATTTTTTTAAAATCCTCCGGGATGGTCAAAGCCAATTAAAAATACCTTAAACAGAAAACCTGCTCTACTGAAAAAAGAGAAAAATGGAAAAAGTACGTTTTGCATTGTGGCCCCTCATTTGTAAATAATATGTTATAATAATAATTATATATACTAGTAAAGCACTATGGCACTCGTATATAATAAATAATAATTTAATAGTACGAGAACAATAGTTAAGTTTTTCTGAAGATGAATAATATACAGTTCAATAAGTTTAAAATTAAAAATCTTCTATTTACTAATATAATTAATACAAACATCAATAATACATTCATTGTATATATCAAATACAATGTTAAGCCTACTGGCTACCAATATCATATACATATTGTTATATTGTATAAAATAATGAATACATTATTTAATTTTAAGCCTATCCAAGCTTTAAAATAACATAATAATCAGTTAGAGACGTAAACTCAAATGAATATAAGAAGTACATTACAACGTATGCATTAATGAAGTAAATAATTAGTACTTATTCAGCAAAGATTTCTATAATACACCTCAGATAACAATTTCTCAACTTAAATATTGTTAGAACTTTATAACTAAGTTTCATTAATAATATTATATATTTTATGTTATCATAAATTTTTAAAAATATTTGAAATATAACATTTTACATACAATATTTTCAAAATATTTCAAATTTATTATTTTGAATTTAATGAGAACATTTCGAAAACATTTAATTGAGAACGTAGAATAACATTATTTTAAGTATATTCTTACAATATTCACATCAAATTAATTATGTAACTTAAGAAAGTAATACTTAGAAAATGTTTTGAAAATAATAAATCAATAAAGTAGAATAATTTTTTAGATTGTACATACAAAAAATGTTCATTTTTCTATCCCAAAAATATTGGTTTTCGAAACTTAGTTCATATTTAGCGCTCTGAAAGAATCTTCTGCCTCAGAGGAGTATGCAAGTGCTTAAATATTTATGTACAAACGGAAATTAAGCTGCAAATTCTATTGTGGGGCCGTGCGGGTGTTAAAAGGTACATGATTTAAATTGAGGAACATATCAACATTTATGTTTCACAATTTAAAGAGTATCAATCAAGAATGAATGCATGCAAAAAGTCGGGTGGTGAGGTTTGAAAATAATATTATTGTTCATCAATCTTTAATGATAAGTACATTGTTGGTAATAATATTTCATGGGGAGGTTCTCTTCGGAGCGAGTAGCCCTACAGTAAGTAGTCCGGCGGCGAAATCTCTTAGATCCGTATTCGAAATAATTAAATAATACAAAAAAAAATATGTATTTAATTAAGAGTATATTATTAAGAAATAATTTATATTTTAATCAAATAAAAGCCCGTCAATTACATTTTATGAACATGTCTAACTCAAAAAATAAATTAATACAGGCTATTTTAATTTGACATTTCGTACCCTCACAAGTCTCCGTCGATTATAAACAATATTAATCATTGACATTTTCCTAGTAAATAGTGAGCAATAAGCCATTAACCAATAACAAGAATACCCCTCTAAACAATTCAAGTAGATATTAATAACTACATTTTCGTCTTTCATAAATTAAATTACGAAAAACAAAAATAAAATATAGTTGGGTATCAATAATTGATACTAATTATTAGTATAGCCGGTATTATAAACAATCTACACAATCTAATCAGTACTGAAAAACAATGTATAGGCGTATATCTAAGCAATTTACATCACATGGTCGTCGTCAATGAACTGTTTCTTGGGAAATGGATAAAAATAGACAAAAACCAACATTGATAGTCCAGTTGAATACTTTACAACACTGCTAATAGGTACCAAGAAAGCTCACTCTATACACGTATTGAGCTTATAATATAATATATAATCGCAGCGACGCACTGTGGTTCGGATTAATAATCTAACTAGACAAAATCATATATGAATGTCCTTCAAAACAATAAATGTATCGTGTTATTTTCGTCTCATCAACTTCTTTATTATCAGGATTTCCAAATTGATAAAAATAATTATGATTTTTGTGATTTATTAGATAAAAGTTCATCGTTTTGCTCGACCATTTATATTCTCTATACATTTTCCTTCATTTACCTATACACGCATAGAGTAGACTATTATTAATTTTTGTTAACGCGAACGCTTGCGCGAGTATTATTCATTACAATAGGTTTTGAAAATCCTTCCAATTCCTAAGAAACATTCAATTAATTGCTTCCAAATACCTACCTATCAGCTGTTAACATTATTCTGGTGAATTATTTTGAACACGGCGACTTTATTACTCATTGTCTTTTAATCACAATTTTGGTGATCCACCGCGTACCGTGGACTTCATTGATACACTTGTGCTTTAATTCTTAAAACAGTCAATAGATCGATCATTACAGACAACAAACCTACGTAAGTACTAAATAATTTTATTGTATTATTATTTATTTTCTGTTACCATAAATAATTATTATTTATATTATAAATATGCGGTACCTGAAAATAAGTTTGTAAGTCTTAAATTTCATGACTGACTTAATATGTCACAAATCGAACTATTTAAATAGCAATTATTATTTAGAGAATGTCAGCGACCTATTATGTATATATGTTGCATACTGTTTTTTTTCTCTCTCTGGTCCACGCGAAAAATGGACAAAACGCAATGCGTTTAACGCATTTACACAAAACCTTTTGTTTTATATTTTAAAATACTTAATTATTTTACTAATTTTAGAGTAAAATCATCAATTAAAAAAAATTTCATTTTGAAAGTTGAATACAAAAAGTAGTAATAATAAATAATAATAAAATAAAAAACTTATAAAACCCTCAAAAATTATAAAAAAAAAACATCAATTTTAAGTGAAAGCCTTTTATCTAATACTGCACTGATATTTTCTAAAAATACAAAATTAATTTTTTAATATTTACTTAGTTTTACATTTTTAATTCTACATATTCATACTTAGAAATCTTAATAATATTATGCCTACTTATTTTACAAATAATTAATTAGTTAAAATTCTGCTTTTATTTAGCTTCTATTAATATTTATTTTTTTAATGTGTAAATTACTTATGTGATACTTATACTTCTTACTATAATATAGTGTTACAGATTAGTTAGGTACAAAGCTATCATTATATGCTTTTTACATGTAATTAAATCTTAGATTGTGCATTTTAAGAAAAATGTATTTATTGTACTGTTTTATGTTGGGTTTTATTTATATATATGTATATAATTTATTGTTATGAATAATGTAACTTATTGGACCTGCAAATTTTATAAATTTAAAATGTTAAAAAATGTAAGTTAATTAGGAATTTAATACCTACTTAATAAACAATATTTTAATACAGTTAATGTATATGTGATAAACTAATAGGTACAGCATATTATAAAATATTTTATTATATGTAATAATATAATACCTAACTTATTATAGATATTAAGATCAATTAGGTATTTAATACTTAAACTAAATTATGTACACCTAACTTATAACATGTATAAGTACCATTAAATAATTTAAATACCAGATAAACAAAAAATTATTAATTAATATATACTTATCAAACTGGCTCAATATTAATGCAGTATTATACAACTACTTATTAATGTATGTTTTAAATGAAGCAATAAAATAATTTTATTTCTTAAATTCAAATACTCTTACTAAAAATATAAATAAGGAGTTTAATTAGGTACCTATATTAGTTTTGTTTTAAATACAAGATGTCTAAACGAGATAAGTCAGTAATAAGGCGAAGTGTGAAACGAGAAATTACTAAAATTAAAAACTTATACTTCAACACGACCAGTAGTGATGATATTAGTTCAATAATAAATACAAATAACGAAGTTAAAGTAAATTTTATAGTAAAATTATTACCTAATCATCACCTAATATAGATTGTTAATTACAGATAACATATAACGAAGAAAGTGAACCATCTAACTCTGTATCATCAAATTTGTCATTTCATTATTCAAATAATGAACATAATGTGTGTCTTAACTCCACATTTCCAAATATGTCTTGTTTATATTTACATAAGGAGGTAAATGAGCTTCTAAACCCTGTATCATCTCTTTATTCAGATAATGAATTTTCAAGTAAAGAAATGTTAGCACCAATAGAAAATAATTCTTTTGAAACTGACTTTGGTTGTTGGGCTATTGAATGTAATGTTCCACAAATTACTGTTGATAAATTATT